GCCCCGGCCCGGCGAAGGGGGGGGGGGGGGGGAGGGTCCGTCTGCCCGCTGATGGGTCCAGAGCGTGGCGCTTTGCCGCCCCCAGGGCGGTGCTGCGGGTTCCACTCCGGGGTCCCGCCCCACGGGCGTGTCGGGTTCGTATCCCCCGTTTCTCCCCGGGGAGGGGCCGCAGCTCTCCGCTCACGCTGGACATGGTTCCGCATGGGTGTGTTGAGCGGCCGTGCTTTTGACGTGTGTAACCATCGTTTTTGATGGGTCCAGAGCGTGGCGCTTTGCCGCCCCCAGGGCGGTGCTGCGGGTTCCACTCCGGGGTCCCGCCCCACGGGCGTGTCGGGTTCGTATCCCCCGTTTCTCCCCGGGGAGGGGCCGCAGCTCTCCGCTCACGCTGGACATGGTTCCGCATGGGTGTGTTGAGCGGCCGTGCTTTTGACGTGTGTAACCATCGTTTTTATTCCAGCAGCAGCAGGGTTGTGGAGAAGGGGATATAGCTCGCAGCAGGAACAGGTGTCCTGCGAAGCGGATCTGGTAAGAGGCTCCAACTTGACACCTTTTTTTAGTTGATTAAGCTTACAGTGCTGAGGAAAAACAGCTTTTTTAAAGCATGAGTATATCCAGGGGAAAATTCTGTGCCCAAAAACCCACCCCTGCTGTATTCTGCATATTTCATTTGTTAAAATAATGTATAATCATGCCCGTTCCAATTAGTTAATTTTATTTCAAAATACTTGTCAAAAGATATGTCTGTAACAATGAAACAGACAGAAACAATGAAAAAAAGTCAGGAAATGTTCGTGTAATTCATTTACATTACAATACAGAAACCTATTTTCTGCACCTCTCAAAAGCAGTGGAAAAGGCTTGGGGGGAATCAGAGGTAATCAAAGTGCTCAATAGAGGGTGAAAATAATTGGTGGAGGGCTGTTAGGTGAGGATGGGATAAATATAGAACAATCTTGGGTGGGGGGGAGAGGGATTGTTAGGGAATTGAGGATCCTGCTTCATGCAGACCCCATAGCGTGGCTTCTCTCATTCAGTCAGCCACATTTATCCCTGTTGGCATGTGTCCCGGTGCCACCATTCAATCACTTTCCCCCCCATCCCAATGTTCCCCCACTCAGCAACCTCCTCAGCTTCACCTCCCCTTCCCTTAATGCAGTCACATTCAAACTTCCTTCATGTAAATTCTAGGGGAGCATCCTTACACTTCAAAGGTGGAGGTGCCATATCGACTAATTGAGTAGTGGATGCAAAATGCATCAACTATTCGATTACTCATAATTTAACATCCCTAATCTCTACTCTTAACCTATGTTAGTCCGTGAAGCAAAGTTCAGGGTTTCCAACATGAAACCACCTCTAATGGCATGTTCCATTGCTAAGTCTCAAAAAAAAATCTTCACTTTAATTTCACAGTATTTTTGTGTTCCAATGAAATCAAGAAGCAGAATGTTGTCTTGTGTGTATGGCCACTTAATTTATGTCCCATTGTAGAAGAATTTAAAAAAGCAGTTAAACTACTTCTTATTTCAGCCAGTTCAAATGGAAAACCCCTATAAGGATCCTCCTAAAAGATGTGTCTTGTGTGGAATAAATGTAGACTACAAGAATGTACAGGTGAGATTCTTTACAATATGAATTTGTGCAGTGATTGTCTGAGGGCAATTGTTTAGTCAGTTTTATTTGTGGGGAAGTTGCTATTGAGGCAGGTCGAACCAGGGAAAAATGGGACTAAAGGGATTAAATTCTAGAAAAGGATATGAAGTTGGGGTGGGGAGAGAAACACTCCCCACTTGCTTGTTCTCTTTGCACTGGCTGCAGGAAATGGTGAAACTGCAGATCAGAGGTAAATTGACCATCAGTTTTGCTTCCTTGCTTTTTATGGCACTGCTGGAGGAAGTATTTAGAGTACTAGTATGATTTTAATGGTGATAAGCATAGTATACAAACTTAAGACTGATGCTGTAAGACTCTCCACAAGAGGCAGAAAGTTAAAACAGTGATCAGTTGAACTATGCTTTCTGGGTGACTAGAAGAATGAAGTCTTATATACAGAATATTTTTGGTCTCCTAGAGGAAATGCTTGTGACAGGGTTTGGTGGATGAGGTATGGTATTCTGAAGAGTGAAAAGCTTAATGGTACTAGCTTGTAGGGGACTTTAGTTTTCATTTGACTGCAAATGTAATAAATAAAAAACTTCCTTGATGAAATTTGCTTTGCAAAAAGGGAATAACTGTTTTTCAGCTCTTTGAAATACTTGGGGCTTTAACTTTCAGAAGTGCTGAGCACTCATTACTGTTATGAAGATTAATGGGAGTTCTCTGAAAAGTCATGTCCTAGAAGTGCCTCTAAAGCTAGTAGATGGTTCTGGCCTTAATATGAGAGTCAGTTTTTGATGTATAATGATGATAGTAACCCTAGGAGATGAGGGGCTAACTTAATTTTTTTAATACGCATAAAGAACTAAAATGAGTGCTGAGAAAATAATGTACAAGGTTTTCAAATTCTGGTTTAAAAGCCAGTAAGTTGTTTGAAGTGAATAAAGTTATAAGCAGTGATCCCTGTAAGCTGAGCGCTTAGGCCGCCACCCAAGAGAGATTCGGGTGCTCCCCAACTGATTGGCAGCATGTCCACATTACCCACAGCCGGCAGCATATGTTTCTACTGGTGGTGCACATCTGCATTTGCCTTAGTATACTTTACAGAACTTATTCTGCCCATAGATGAAAAAAGTTAGAGGGCACACTGGTTATAATCTCTGTGTGCTATGGCAAATCAGTGTCATAATACAATTTTTTTTAAAGCATTTAAAGTTACCGGTTTTCAAGAATACTTATTGAGCCTTTTGATTTTTCAATAGCTTCTGTCCCAGTTTGTTTCACCATATACTGGTCGCATTTACGGCAGACACATAACAGGTATTTAAGCTGTAGTCTTAATGTTTATTTAACAAGTAATCTTTATCCTATTAAAATATTTACTTAAAGCTAATATTAAAATTTAGTATTTTATATTAATTTTAGTGGTAACAGTTCTATCAACTATGAAAACATTGAATAATATGACATGAATATTTTCATGACTAGGAATTCAAACAGTTGAATCATACTTAATATATTCTAATGGTTTGTGTAATCCTAGTTAGGATTTTTTTTAAAAAGGCTTCTAGGAATCCCTAGAAACTAACCTAATTACTGAGTCTACTATTTGGATACCTGAAATAAGATTCTAAAACCTGTTTTTACAGGGTTGTGTGGGAAGAAACAGAAAGAAATTACAAAAGCCATTAAAAGAGCTCATGTAATTGGTAAGCATAGCTGTAAACTAGTTTTTGTAGACACAATTATTTATTTAAAAAACTTATTAAAACAGTATTAATTTCTTGCAGGATTTATGCCAGTTGTGTACAAGGATCCAACATTTCTTAATGACCCCAAAATTTGTGATATCAGACATCCGGAGTAAGTTATGTAAATTGTGCAGAAAACAATAAAATTATTTTATGATGTTTATGTGCTCATTACTACCAGAACCTTTACTTCAGTAATAGGCTACTAACAATTTTAGAACTGATGTTCAGGTCATTTATATTCTTATCCAAAATGCTTGGCATTCCAGCTAACACATTATACACCAAAATGAGTAACAGAATTGAGCACTCAAAGGGGAGAGAATAAACTTCTCAAAACACTGATTTCCTGCATTAGAATCTGGTCTTAAAATGCTGCAGGACCCTACTTCTTACCATATCTCCAATAGCTTTCTGAGTTTGAAGTAAAAGAGAATATGGAATTAAACTTGCTCATCACAGGAGCCATTTGCAAGTAAAACCCAAAGGGAAAAAACTTGTCAGAATACAAGAGAGCAAGTGATTAGAGCAAGACACAGCAACATTTGCTGTTAACTAGGGATGTTAAGTAGTGATTAATTTGCTAGTCGAGTAGTTGATGGAATTTCCATTGACTACTGGACTAGTTAATAAGCACTTCCGCTTTCTGCCTTTGAAATGTACATGTGCCAGGAGAGGGGAGCTTGTGCATTTCAAACTTGGAACCCACATGGTGTCCAGGGCCAGCAGGAAGTCCCGCTTACTCTGTGATCACACAGGCGCTTCCACTTTGAAATGCACAAGAGCCCCCACTGGGGACTCTTGTACATTTTAAAGCGGCAGTGCCATGCGGAACCCACGGTGCTGTTGCTTTGAAATGCCATGTGGTGCCCAGGGTCAGCTGCTCTATCCTGCATTTCAAAGCGGCCACCACCACCCAGAGCGCAAGAACAGCTGTGGAGTCCCCAGCTGATCCTGGGCTACATGCGGTGCTGGTGCTTTGAAATGCTGCAAGGAGCCTGATGCCAGGCTCTCCATGGCATTCAAAGTGGCACTGCCGCACAGAGCAGCTGACCACAGGCTCCATGTGGTGATGCTGCTGCTTTTAAGTGCCTCCTCTTCTCCCCCTGCTGCTGCCTCTATCTGATGGAGGCAGCAAGGGGGGGAGAAGTGATTAGTCGACTATCCTTTACACCCCTATTGTTAACATTGCAGATCCAAATACCAAGTTGTTCTGCCACTAGATGCAGTTGCTGCTGAGGAAAGCCTAAATGTATTTGCCTTTAGCAATAGACTAACATTTTAAGACCTATTTTAAAAAGACATGGTACAGTACATCCCAACTCTGACAGTTGCAGCAGCTCTAAGTTTTTAATGTTTGTACTTTACTACTATTCTTCCTATTGTGAGCCCTGAGAGAAAGGGAATGCAGAGAGAGGAAATGTAATCTGGACTCGGCTCTACATTTTCCAAATAAGACACCTCCACTTTAAAAAACCTGTTTTACATTTTTTTAACAAAATGATGCATTGGTTTAGCCCTAGTATAAACTGATGAAATATAGTTGATGTGTTGGCAGTAGTTTTTTGGTGCAGCAGTAGTCACCCTGAGGAAAATCCTATACTTGGCCCAAAGGGTTAGAAAGTTGGCGATTGTGGATATTCATTACTGTCCTTAACTTCTTCCAGAGTTTCTTCATCTGTTTCAGTACCACTCATTGTAAGCTTTTCTTCTTGGTCTCTGTAGTCTTGGTCCCCTTTAAGTAACTTCTGGTGAGGTTGCAATGAGCGTGATTTCTTGAATGTTTTTCTTCCAGCTGTAGTCACACTAGCTTTGCGCTTGGTTATCTGCTTTGTTCCAGCTTCAGGAAAGTCACTGTCTTCTTGCATTAGAGTCAGTTTGTCCATTACATTTATTTTGTGGTCAGTGTTACAGCAGTGTTTAGAAATCTGCCTGCCTTTTAAGGACACAATGCAGGTCTGAAGTCCAGAATTTGGGAAAAATGTTTGTAAAGCTTGACAAAGGAAAACATTCTCCGTTGGTTCAGCTGAATCACTTTTGTTCTCTCCTGAATAATAGAAAAAATAAGAATTTCAAACTAGCCTTTCTAGTATTCTCATTAGTGTTCACTTGCCTTTTTGTTTTAGATTTGGGATTGCTTAATGTGCAGAATAGTCTTCTTCATTTCTATATATTACCAGTGTAGACCTCTCTACTGTTTATATACATTAATTATGATTAGCAAACAGCCTCCTTTCAAGAAAAGGTATCAAGTTTCCCTTTTGACTAGTAGCTAGAAAGTAATAGTGGCTAGACAAAAATACAAACTCTTTTTAGATCACATGCATGAAAAATTCAATGGTTATCAAATTATTTTTGATAGAATGAAGATTATTGCTAGTAGTGAGTGGAGTCATATGTAATATTGTATCTAGTGGCACACTTCTGAGATTGCACTTGTACAGACTACTCACTAATGTAGACTCTAGAATTAAATCCATGTGATGTGGTTTTTAGACCAGACTGAATTTAGTGGGAAAGGGACAGCTGAAATGTGAGGCTTACCTTAATGTTCTTATGGATTGCCCCAAGGAAATGTCATTCATGAATAGTTCTATTATGTATTTTCATATCTGTTTTTGCCACAATCCCATATTTCCATGGAAAGGCTTGATAATCTTTCTTCTATTACCTGAAGTTTGTGTCTGCTCCTTTTTTCTTTTTATTTCTTGTTTTAGTTGATCCACTTCTGCTAGGAGTTTCTCTACTGATCGTTCACTGCCTTCTACTTTAGAACATAATTTCTGCAAGAGAGGTCAATTCTACTGAACATTCAATTGTTATTAAATCAGTCTTTTATAGATTTATTTCTGTGTTCCAGATAACTTTAAGGATGTCATGAAATGTAACACATACAAGGTCCAATATTACAAAAAGCATACAAAGCAACATTGACGGTATAGTTTGAGCTGCAAGATTATTACTGAATCGGCAATTAGGTAGAAAATACTTAGGAAATCTTCTATTTTATCTATAATCCTAGACATTTGCTACAGTATAGTCTCCTATTTCATACAGTGTACTTTTAAACTCAAGAATGGGACTTTATATCCCTTTGGAGGCAAGTTTACATTCTCCCATCAGGCTTACTTTAAATACCACTTAATGTTTCCTGTCTTTTCCTTAGCTTAATTTCACGTTATTACTCTTAGTTCTATCACTTTTAACAACTGAATCCACTTGAAAAGTGACCGTAACATTGATTTGTAACACCCCTCAGGCCTGAAAGACTATTTATAGCCAAATAACTTTCAATAACTATTTCACGAAAATGATGTACACTCATGTTTTATTTAAGTCTGTAAGTTACATCAGTGGTATTCCTTCTTCCACTATTTTTCATCTGAATTAAAGCACATCCAAACTTCTATTTAATCTTGAATGATTCAGTTGCTTGTTTTTGTGCTCAAAACCTATACCTTATGGCCTTAGTAAGAGTAAAGTTGTCTTTATTCAGTATTTAAAAGAAAGTGCTTCCCCCTAGGGATGTAAGCGAGTAGTTGACTACTCGCATCCCCCGCCCTTGCTGCCTCTGTGTCAGAGGCATCAAGGGTGAGGGGAACAGCAGGCAGTGCTGGGTGAAGCTAGCTTAAAAGCTCGTGTCCCCCCCCCCCCCCAACACCATCTCCATGGTGTCACCTGCCCCCTCCTCCTCCCACTGCTGCCTCTTTCAGAGGCAGCAGCCCATTTGCAGCCAGCCCCAGCAGTCTGCAAACAGGGCTGCTAGACTTGGTTCAGTCCAGGCTCACTCTGGGTCCAGGAGCTACCCCCACTGTGGCTCTGTGGTTTAAAAGTAATAAGAGCTGGGTGTGTAGGCAGCCTGGCTCCTGCATTTAAACTAGAGGCACAGCAGGAGTAGGTCCCAGACTAGTTGGTTACACAATTAGTGTAACTACACAATTAGCCTCTTAACATCTTTACTTTTCCCGAAGCCCTTCAATTCTGATGTTTAAAATCATGGTAGTACTTAAAAATTTCTAGTAGTTTAGTAAACTATCTTGTTCCTGTCTGACTCTTGAGTTAGTCAAGCTAGAAACTCTGGATGATTCAAATTTAAATTCTCCTGTTTTAAAAACCACTATTTATAATCCATATTCCTTCCAAATAGCTTTACTTCCTACTTTTTTCTCAAGACCAGTTTTCAAAAATTAATGCACTAGCTCATGAATTTTAAAAACTGAGATTGCAGGTTCATTACCAGCTAAGAAGCAACCTTTTTTTAAAAAATATACCTACAAAAGTTTTATTGGATACATCCAACACTTCCATGATTTTGTGTTGGTATCACCAAATGAAAGCTTTGATGTGATTCATTGGTTGTCATTTGTTAGTCATAATCAGGTGGAGGGACTCTTAGAAGACTGAACACATTAAGTTTCACTAAAGCTAGTTGTGCTACAGAAACCTTAATTTCTTTAATGTAACTCAGTTTTGGAAGGCACACATTTATGGGGAGAAGAAACTAAGACAAGATTTGAAGTGGAGTAAGAGAGGGCACCCTTCTTCCAAGCCTTACAGCAGTCAGTCTCTCTCTACCCCTCTCTCTCCCACCCTCCCAAAACAACAAAACTTTGAAGAAGAGATCTTGAGTTTCTACTGGTCTGGGGAGGGAGATATCTGTCAGTTCTACATAAGGACAAGCTATGGCAGACTCACAATGAACATCCTACTAGAATCCACATTGTCCCTTTTCAGCAGATGAGGGGAGGGAAGGGAAGGATTTACCTTCTTTGATATTACCCTGTGATTTAGCGGATTGTCTCTTCTGCAACAGCCCTTCATCTTTTGTTTCAGGTACATTTTCCAGCCCAGCATACAAGTCAAATTCTTCACTGTCATTATTTGTAATTATCCAAGTAGTTATGCAAAAATCTAGCATTTCTGTTGACTTGTGTGTCTCTTATAGGAAATCTTTTTTCCATCTCTTGTATATTTGCATATTTCTGCACAAGACAGCTTCAGTCTAATTCTCATGTACAGTCATACCACTTTACTTCATGGTGGCAGTACAAAAGGACCTTGAGGGAGGAGCAAATTATGTTTACACTCACTTTAAAACTTCTTTGTGCTGTTAGATTGGTGTTAAATTGCCTTAGAGCAAGGCTACTCAATATGTGCCCCATGGCCCATTTGTTTGTGGCTCGTGGTGTGGTTTAGGTTTATGCAGGGCTCAACACGTGGCCTATGTATGGGATCCTTTGAACAGGGTCTCCACTGGGAACATACTCCACAACTGCTAGTCAATATAATGGTCTTCTGTTGATGTGCGTTTTAGTAGTTAAATTCCTGGACTGTCATTCCATTCCATTCGGGTGGAAATCAGGTAAATATTGCATTTTATTAATATCAGCAGAACTGACTTAAATGGGGCCTGTGTGTTGTGTAGTCTTGCCTTAATCTTTGTATTCATACCCATCAGTGTGAAAGAAGCTATTTGCATATATATATTTGCATGTATGTGCAACTACACTTAAGTTGCAGCCCTTGGCATGCACTGAGAGTATCATTGTGGTCCTCAGGGCTTCCAATGTCAAGTAGCCCTGCCTTAGTGTAAATCAGGGTTTCCCAACTTATGGGTCAGGACCCAAATATGGGTTGCCATTACATTTCAAAAGGGTCACCAGGTGGCTCTTAAGGAGCCATTCACATTTTTTGAATTGCTCTGGGTCACCAAGTCTTCCTGAATTGTCAAAAATGGGTCCTCAAATGGAAAAGGTTGGGAACTGCTTCTGTAAATGATAATCAGGACCTCTTGGGTAAATATTTGACTTGTTTGCAGTGCTACCTTGAACATTTACAATCAAACATATATGCTTTTCTGAAATGGAATGACCTACCTTCAATTCCTCCTGCAAGGTGGCATACATTTCATTAATCTTATGAACCTCTTTTAGTGATCCATCTTCATAAAAAAATTCAGACCTTTAAATACAAACAGAAACCAATGTAGAATTACACTTAATTATGCATACGTAACAACTTATGCTTAACAGACATTCTTTTGTACACTGAAGTCTAACTTGCATGTCTAAAAAAACGAGGAGTCCTGTGGCACCTGAAAGACTTACAGATTTATTTGCGCTTTCGTATGTCCAACACCATAAAAACTTATACTCAAATAAATGTACTTTGTAAGGTGCCACAGGATTCCTTGGTTTTGCAGATACAGACTAACGCTGCTACCCCTTTGCCAGATGTCTACCACAGTCATAATTCCTTAAGCGTAACAGGTATTCAACGAACAATGATGGATAATGGCTTTTATTTGTGTTTAAAATATAGGTTTCTAGACTCCAAGACTAAATCATTAGCAGACATCAAAAATACCAGCAGGATGAAAAATAAGCAGGATTATTGACTTGTTTGGCCTCCAAAGGGAAATAATTAGCCTTCACTCCCATTTAAACCACTCCAAGGGTTTTAGTCTAGTCTTCCTCTGTAAGCTCTTCAAGCAAGGGTTCTGTCTCTGTATTGTAAAGTCCCATGTAAATGTATAATAGGGTAGGGTTGCATACTTTAGAATATATAAGTTTTTAGGGTTTCTTTACTGATGGTGTACCATCTCAGTATTAACTGGTGATTAACAAACAGTACACCTTCCGTGGGGAGATTATACTTGTCTCTTAAATAAGATGGTTTTATCCTCTCCTCAGATCCAGAATCTGTGGTAAAAGGGTTAGATAACACACATACAAGTCAATAACCTAACTCCATTTCTGTGCATTGGTTAGTAGCAGAGATTCTCAGACTAAAGGGAACAAAGGCATGCAGCAGGGACCATACCGATGGTTCTACACTTTTTCCCCCAGAAGTGCAGGACCTCTGGCTGAATGATAGCTGCTGGTGCCACTGCTGCCAGGATTGGATGGCAGTTCTGGCTGTCCCTAACAGAAGCAACTGTGGAGGGCCTTCTGACTCCACTGATGGTAGCCTCAGCTGCTCCCCTCATGTGCAGAGCAGGCATGCTGCAACTCTGGACCTGTGTATTGGTAAGGATTGGGGACAACTTGGTAGCAACAGGGGTTTCTTCCTTTCATTCAAATGCAGTAGTGAGCTAAGTGTGGGGGCTGCAAGTCTGGAGACTGTTGTCTCTCTTCCTCCCCCCTCCTCCCCAAGCCAATTAGACTGCTTATCAGGGTCTCAGGAAGTCAGACAAGAACAGTGTGCTGGAGAGGGAGCTGGAAGAATGCAGGGAAGGAGAGAGTAGTGCAGGATGGACCTTATTGCAAGAACAGGCTGAGATAGGTATTAAGGTCCAGGGCAGGGAGCTGAGCAGAGTGGCACATAAGGGGATAAAGCAGAGCAGTGCACAGGAAAATGGCTGAGTCTCTTGTGTAGGGGAATAGTACAATGTACGGGAGCACAATGCCAAATTGCTGCATGAAACATCATACCAGCCACTTGCAGAATCAAACATTAAAAGACTGGAGATTGCCTCTCAGTAAAGGATATAGTCTCCATTCTAAGAATATTTCATAGTAAAGAATTGTCTAGCAAGTGATTACTACACAGTTGCACGATATATTGGTTGTATTTCCAGCTCTCCTACAGACTCGAATGACTTTGGACTAATCATTTAGTTTCTGTTTCCCCAAATGTGACATTGGAATCAGCATATACTTTATAGTTGTGATAAGATGCTTAATTTGTTAGCATGTATAATCATTGTCAAATCCTCACAAGGTGATAGAGCAAAGTTATAAAGGAAAAACTCTTTATTTGACCCACATTAGATTTGTAAAAGCAGGAGTTATAATCCATTGATTTTTTTAAAATTATATTAGAACATATATGCAAGCTGTTCTTAAAACAAAAATACAGCAGCACCAAGAATACAAAAAATCAACTAAACAAAAAATAACCTTGACTTTATTGGCCAGAAATGCAAAGAACAAAGGGAATTATAGAAAAGTAAATTGGATTTAATTTCAATAATTTAAGTTGATGTCGGTAAAGACATTTTGTACAACATTATTTTGAAGCGGACAGTGTCAATTCAAATTATTATGGCAAATGAGCTTAATCAAAAGCTATGGAAAATCAATGAATCACAAATCAAACCAAAAGTTGTATCAATGACTTTTATACCTGACTAGCAAAATAGGGATGTGGCGTCACTTGCTGAAGAGGTTTAATGGGTTAGAATTTTACTTGTGGAGCACTCTACATTTGGATATGACGTACAGATCCAAAATTATGAACTGGTCACTGATCTGCATTTAGAGAAGAGTTCAATTACCTACAAATCATCTTTGGCACATGTTATTTAATACAAAACCTTTCAGTAATGAAAGTTACCTGCTGGTGTGTACCAGATGAGATACTGTAGGTAACATTTAATACAGAAAAATTCCCACTCTTTATCATTCTGAAAGTCAAATTTCTTCCCAGTATGTCAGTTTATTAAATCTACAAAATCTCATTAGAAGACACAAGTTCAGTATGAAAAAATGTGCATCATTCCTACCTGTGTTTTTTTACTGCTTTTCCAAAGCCAGCAGAAATACAGGAGCCAGATACAGTTCTGTAACCTTGCTGTTCTGCCATACCCAAGTTGGCAACTACCAGAGGAACTTTCTGGAAAAGACTATTTTTTAAAAAGCAAGAACATGAAAATTTATCATTGCAAGTTTTGGAAGTAATGGTTTATCTGATATTCATTCTTTATCATAAAATGATATACATGCAGAATTCTGAGAGAATTAATAAAATAGAAGAATAAGCATTAATACCAAACCATCTGATTGGACCTATAGTAAAGAACAGAATTATCAGACAAGAATGAATACATTATTATGGGGGAAGAGTCAACGTGGCTTTTGTAAAGGGAACTCATGCCTAGCCCATTTATTTTAGTTTTTGATGGCCACCAAACACAGACAAGAGTAATCCAGTGAATATAATGCATTTTAAACTTTGGTGATAAGGTTCCTCACCAAAGGCTCTTAAGCAAAATAAGTAGACATTGGATAAGAGGAAAGGTTCTCTCATGGATCTGTAACTGGTTAAAAGAGGAAACCAAGGTAGGAATAAATGATCAATTTTCACAGTGGAGACAGATAAATAGTGAGGTGGTTCAAGGATTTCTATGGGACTAATTCTGTTGAACATGTTCACAAATCATCTGGAAAAAGGGATAAACAGGTGGCAAAGTTTGCAGAGGCCATGTCTATATTACAGATAAGATTAAAGCAGTCGATCTTCCGGGGTTCAAATTAGCAGGTCTAGTGAAGACACTAATTCGACCTGAGTGGGCACTCCATCAATACCTATGGTCCTGCTTCCACGAGGAGTGTGTGCTCCCTTTGATTTCCTGCAGTGTGGACAGCACCAAAATTCAACTTAAGATACTTCAACTTAAGCTACGCAATTAACATAGCTAAAGACGCATATCTTACTTTGAATTTATCCTCTGGTGTAGACCAGGGGAAAGTTACTTGGGATAGGTAAGTTCAAAGCAGACTAAAGAGTTGCCAAGGGATCTCACAAAACTGGGTGACACAGCAACAAAATGGCAGACCAAATTCACATGTAGATTATATGAAAAATAAAACTATGTAAAATATAATCTCAACTATATATAGCAAGGTGGGCAATAAATTTTGATGGTGAGGCTACTCCAAGTGAACAAGAGCCACACTCTTCTATGATACTAATGGAGGAAATACAGGGCCTGAGATGGAGGTTGGGTGCAGAAGGGAGCTTAGGGTAAAGGTTTGGGGTGCAGGAGGAAGTTTGGTTGAAGGTAGAGGTGGTGATCGGGAGGAGGGGTGCAAGGTCTGAGAGGAAGTATGATGAGGTGCAGGAAGGGGGTGCAGAGGGTTTGGGTTTTGACCTAGGGCAGGCACTTGTGACAGGGGAAGAGGAGGTGGGGTGCCAGGTGCAGGTTCTGACCAGGAGGCACTTACTATAGTAGGCAGCTCCCAGCTAGCAGCCCAGTGGGACCCATGTAGGACCCAACATCTGTGCCACGTGTCTTATGGGAGAGGTCAGGTGACTTTGTGCACTGCCTGTGCCACAAGCATTTTCCAATGGAAAAAAATTGTGTCACAAAACTTCTGATCAACTCTAATGCAGATGATGTGCAGCGGGTCAGGGTCTGAGTTCCCAGACAATCTAAAAATAATTGTCATCAATCTAAATATCTTGGTGGTTAATTTGAAACAAATTAAGAGTGATGAAATCAACACTGGAACTGACCTATACTTTGCCTATGCCAGGGAAACTGTCAGGGACTAAGAATAGTAATTGACAAAGATTTCTCTACACCTGCTTAAAAAGCTCCTCAAAAACCAAAATACACAGGGAGCAGAACATAAAAGCCTACAGCAGGGGTGGCCAACCTGTTCCAGACAAGAGCCACAATAGCAGTGGAGACAGCGTGAAGAACTGGGGCAAAGTTGTTGAGCAAAAAAAACCCAAATACGCCGTGCTGAGGGAAAATAGGTGCTGGTACACCGTCCCACAGCTGCGTTTGTTTGTTTGTTTGTTTTGGCTTAACAACGTTGCCCCGGCTTCCACTGCTATTGTGGCTCACAAAAAAAGCACTGGGGCATGGGAAAGGGGTGAGAGGTGCAAACTCTGGGAGGGAATTTGGGTGCAGAAGGAGTAGAGAAGAAGATGCTGGCTCAAGGAAGGGGCTCCAGGCTGGAAAGTGTTGGGGTCAGGTGGAGGGTTGGGATGCTAAGCAAGCTGCAGGCTTGTGGCTATGAGGGTGCAGAAGTTTGGTCTGGGGTGCATGAAGGGCTCAGGGCAGGGAGGCTGGGAATATGATGGGCTCAGGACAGATTTGCAGTGTGTGGATGGTGCAGGAGTATTGTGGCAGAAGACTGGGGATATGGGGGTGCAGGAGTTTGGGGATATGAGAGGCTCAGGATAAGGGGTTCGGGTAAGGACAGGCAGGTCCAGTGTATGATAAGCTCAGAGCCAGGGCCGGCGGGGAGAGGGTGCAGGAGTGTTATGATGCTGCGGCCAGATTGGGGCTTGGCCCCAATTGGGGGTTTGTTGGCCAGGCTTCATTTTTAAATAAAATATTGTCAAACACAAAATGTTTAAGCATTGTCTTTATATATGAGAGAGGCAGGGTACCTGTTTTGAGTCAGAGGTCACTGACCTACAGAAAAGTCAGTCAGGGCCACACAAGTGAGATGCAAATAAACACCCCCTCAAGCCTCATTAATGTGGCCCCAAGGCTATGTCTAGACTGCAGGCTTCTTTCAAAAGAGGCTCTTTCGAAAGCATCTTTCGAAAGATCGCGTCTAGACTGCAGGTGGATCTTTCGAAAGAGAAATCCGCTTTTTCAAAAGAGAGCACCCAGCGAGTCTGGATGCTCTCTTTCGAAGACGGCCTCTTTACATTGAAGAACGCCTTCTTTCGAAAGAGGAACTTTCGAAAGAAGGCGTTCTTCCTCGTAAATTGAGGTTTACCGCCATCGAAAGAAAAGCCGCGTTCTTTCGAAATAATTTCGAAAGAACGCGGCTTGAGTCTGGACGCAGGGGAAGTTCTTTCAAAAAAAGGCTACTTTTTTCGAAAGAACCCCTGAGTCTGGACACGGTCCAACTGGTGGGGGCAGCAGACAGGATGCTAGTGGGTGCTGGAGCAGGGTACTTGTGGGGGCGGGGGGTCTGGCTAGGAGGAAGGGACAGAGACAGCTGGGGCCAGTACCTGGGTTGCTCTTCCCCTCCCCTAAAGAGCTGGTGTGCTTCCTGAAATGCCTGGTCTCTCGCTCCACCAGGGACTTCCTTTCCCCTGCTGCCTGCCTGCGCAGGGTGTGTGTGGAGTCCCAGGACTACATGCCAGCTCCAACTTCTCAGGAAGCACGCACTCTTCTCTGCTCCCCACGACAGCCATGTGCTTCCTGAGAAGTTGGAGTTGGCATGCAGTCCCAGGATTCCCACTGCACAGGCAGGCAGCAGGGGGAAAGTCCCTGGTAGTACGACATACCCAGCATTGCAGGAAGCGTGCCAGCTGTTTAGGGGAGGGGAAGAGCAGCCTGATCTCACCCAGTTCCCTTCCCCAGAGTCAGGTACCCCACCCCCTGCTATACTCCAATCCCCTGTCCTTCTCTTCCCCAAAGCCAGGCACCCCCCCACCCAATCACCCTCTTCTCCCCATCTCCAAAGTCAGGCACACCCACCCCAACCAAATCCCACTCTCCTCCCCTTCCCCAAAGCCAGGCACACACACCCTCATCCCCCACCCCGCGCTCTAACCTAATTCTCCGATTGAGGAGCCGCTGCTACAGCTGCACGTCTCCATCCAGGTGCTGGGGCACGTGCGCTGAGCGGCCAGCTTTGAGCATGATCTGGCCGGGACTCCATGTGCAACCCAATCCCCCTTCCCTTCCCCTCCCTGCTGTAAACCAATTCCCCTCATCCCCCCCCCCCCAAGTTTATGCTCGGGTCCCGGAGCCAGAGCTGCTGCGCCACATCCGAGATGCCATACATACTGCCCCCTGCCTCCACCCGATCCCCTTCTCCAGAGCCAGGCATCTTTCCTCCCACCCCCTCCAACCTTATGCCTGGGTCCCAGAGCCGCTGCCACTGCCTGCGCTCAGCAACTAGCTGCTAACACATGTAGGCTGGGATGCTATGTGTGACCCAGCCTGCACGTGCAGGATATGACGTAGTGCGCTGAGGGCTGTGAGCAAAACGGCGCGGGCCATGAGCATGCATGCGGGCCCCACAATACACTAACATCTTTATGGCTGACTTAGAACAACGTTTCCTCAGATCCCGTCCCCTTTTACCTCTTGTTCTACTACATCAATGACATCTTTATGATCTGGACCCATGGCCAAGAAACACTGGACGCATTCCACAGAGACTTTAACAACCTACACCCCACCATCAATCTCAGCCTGGACCATTGTACACAAGAGATCCATTTCCTGGACACCACAGTACAAATCACCAATGGTAAATTAGACACCACTCTCTACAGAAAACCCACTGGCTCCTACAGTTACCTACATGCCTCCAGCTCCCATCCAGGACACACCATACGATCCATCATCTATAGCCAAGCCCTTAGATACAATCGCATCTGCTCTAATCCCACTGACAGAGACCAGAAACTTCAGGATCTCTACCAAGCATTTATAAACCTCAATTACCCACCCGGAGAAATAAAAAAACAAATTGAAAGAGCCAGACAAATACCCAGAAACCATCTACTTCAAGACAGACTCAAGAAAACCAACAATAGAACACCACTTGTCATCACCTACAGCCCCCAACTTAAACCCATCCAACGCATTATCAATAAACTACAGCCTATACTGGAACAGGAGAATACCCTGCGAGAGGCTCTGGGAGACAGACCCATAGTCTCCTATAGACAACCACCTAACCTCAGGATGATTCTTACCAACAACCACAGGACATACCACACTAATACCAACCCTGGAATTTCCCCTGGCAACAAACCCCGGTGCCAGCTTTGTCCACATATTTACTCTGCTGACACCATTATTGGACCTAACCATGCCAGTTACAAGATCAAGAACACATATTCCTGCGCATCCAGAAATATAATTTATGCCATCATGTGCATAAAGTGTCCGTCTGCTATGTACATTGGACAAACTTCTCAGACACTTCACCAAAGAATCAATGCACATAAACAGGACTCGCCAAACCGCGGTGAGCCCTGCTCGCCAGCCGCGCTGTCCAGCGTTCTGCGCATGCGCAGATTGCCCGAACCCGACTCTTCCGGGCGAGTTGTAATCTACTCGCCACGGGCGAGTAGATTGCATTATTTATTGAGCCCTGCACATAAAACAGACATCAGGCTCTCTCACAGAGAGAAAACTGTTGCTTGCCATTTTAACCAGACCGACCATTCTCTCAATGACATTAAAACATGCATATTGCTTCAAAGAGATTTTAACTCCAGACTTCAAAGAAGTGTCTCAGAACTGTCATTCATGCTTAAATTTGACACTTTACATATGGGTCTTAACAAAGATGCTAATTATCTCAACCATAACAAAGATAGCTTCCCAATTATCACCCCTAATGTCATTACCTCACAGACACTAACCTTCCCCCCTCACCCGTCCTCTGTTCTTAAATCTCATTAGTCAATTTTATGTGTGTTCACTTTTTTTTTATTGTATCACTTTGGTATATATGGTCATGCCAATTTTCTTCCACATATTGATCTGAGGAAGTGGGTCTGGCCCACAAAAGCTCATCACCTAATAAACCATCTTGTTAGTCTTTAAAGTTATACATAGTCCTATCTTTTGTTTCAGCTAGACCAGACTAACACGGCTGCATCTCTATCACTAGAAAAATAAGAGTAGTAACATAAGTAACAGCGTATCATATATCCCTGTGTCCCACTAGAATGAGAGAGAACAACAAATGAGAGATACTTACCCCTCTTGTGGTCTATGCAAAGCATGTTCTAATCTGTAAGTGGAACAGCTTTCTGTAGTTACACTGGAAGTTAGTAACAGAAAGACAAGACCCTGATTTGATAAGTATGACTGTAAATTCCTGTGAAGGAGTCTCTCTCGGAATGTCATTGTTTGGTCTGTATTACGTCTGAATTTGTACCAGCCTATCACATTCTGGGTAGGAAAAAAAAATTATCTTCAGTGTTACTATTCCCTAGAATTGCACAACACATACAACTAGTGTGGAAAAAGTCAGAAAAGGGGTCAGCACTGAACTGAACTGGAATTCTTTAAGATTGTAGATCCTGATTCAGCAAACTAAGTACAGGCTTGACTTTAAACACATGAGTAGTACCATCTCTATTCTGCAAAGTACTTAAACACAAGTAGTTTAATTTAAAATTCTTCATGCTTATACATCTACTGAATTGAGGCCTTACTGAGAACATTTCATACCCCTCACATGCTGAGAATATAAATCTATCAAAATTGGTTCACTTTCAAAGCTTATGCCAAAATCATTAATCTAACTCCAAACTTAGCCCTATACCAAGATACTTGTTCCCTAACAGGCTACAGTGTTATCCTGTTTAAATATTCTTTTCAGAAGCAAGAGTGTTTGATAAAATATAAATTTTATTTTTCATCAAAATCAGACAAAAGAATACCAATCTGATTCAGTAAATGAAAGGGCAAACTCTTCCAAAGCATATATGAATATTACAATCAATTGAAATCCAACTGTCTGTGTTTTAAGTGAGCTGTTTGAAAAACACTTCTCTGATCCAATACAGAAAAGGGCACAGGCACAGGATCTCACTGCAACATCTAAATTATTTACTTGGGAGATGAGGGAAAAAATCCAATAGAAGTACAGAAGAGGGAATAAGTGTTCCCCAACCTTTAAAAAAAGGGATGTGTTTTGTGAGGACCAAATTTCAGTATATTTTAGACTTTTGTCATGGTCTGAAAAGATAAAAAAAGGGAGTAAGTGCCTAAATGAAATTATGGAATGAAATTAATAACTAAAATATGAGTCAACATAGCAATTACATAGCCAGCATAAATAAAAGCCTAAATAAAACCCCAGAGTATGGATTATTTAAAAAAAATAAAATACCTTTTTGCAACCTGATAACATTTTCTTCAGTGCAGGCTCATTCAGTTCACCTGCAGAGTTATAAAAGCTAGAAAAGATCATTAGAAGGGTCAGGGGATACTGTTCCAAAGTAACTTCTTAAAATAATCTAGAAGCTCCCTCATTTCAAACTGATTAAATGTTATGAGAACTCCCCAAAGTCTAGTGTGAAACACCTTCCCAGTTGGGACATTAACTATATGTTAAATGACTAATTGAATAGTCGATGGAATTTCCATTGACTACTTGATTAGTCGATAAGGGGGGATGCTCCTGCTGCAGTTCTGCACTTTAAATATAGTAAGTGCTGCTGCTGGGACCCTGCGACTGTGCCTCCCCCCTCTTCCAGCACCAGCTTCCCTCCCTTGCTGCTTCTAATACAGAGGCAGCAATGGGTGGGGAGCGAGCAGTCGAATAGTCCTTACACCCCTACTTCCCAGTAGACCCTGATTTTCTTGTTTACACTTACCAATATTTTAAAAAATATAGGCCTGTTTAAAAGTGATAATATCAAATAATGGCATCCATTAATTACATTCCAAATACAGCTATAGTGAATCATTTAAGAACAGTGTGACCAAAAGTCACACCCCACATACTAGTGTTATTTTTGTGAAAAATATGACTATTTAGGTATCATTTAAAAGTTAACACACTGATAATCAATATTCTTGTGCAATGTTTATATGAAATGCAATTTGTCATTATGAACATAAGCTGAATTTATGACTATGTGTTTACCAGACAAATCTGGGGAGTGGGTAAACTGGTTTCTCAAAGACAAAGGACTAACTGATGCCTCTAGAGAACTGTCATCAAAGCTGACTGACAATCAGCGGTCAAGTGGCAAAGAATGAGGGCACGAACAGATTGATCTGCATTTGAACAGACAACAGTTGCAGGGAATATCTTTCACCATGAGACACTATATCTTCATCTTTACAGATAGAATGAACTTTATCCAGGGATAACCCTCAGGAAAATGCATTTCAAAGGGTGAATGGACTATGAAAAGGGCAAAAACACAGCAAAAGTTGTCTGTCTTTCTTACCTAAAAAGAGAAAGGGACAAGTGCTTTGACTTTTGGGGAGTTGCTGGCCTGAGAATTTGGTCAGCAATGTTGCTGGGAACATGTGGTAAGGATTTTATCTTGAGCCAAACTAGCTGGTTAAGATTTAGCTACTAAAAAGTGTTTTATCTTTATTTCTCTTTTGATCATTTCTGACATTGTCTTATGCTTGTACTCATTTAAAATTTCTAAGTATTATACAGTGTTGTGTTTAAAATGATCTATTTTGGTAGCTCCAGTTAAAATAAACTGTTGCACATTGACTCCTCATAATGGCAATGGACTTCTAATATATGAACTGTTGAGGAGAGGGCTGGATAGTGCAGAACACATGTTTTGGGGAAAATCATAGAATCACAGACTCCTAGAACTGGAAGGGACCTCAAGAGGTCATCGAGTCCAGTCCCCTGCCCTCACAGCAGGACCAAACGCTGCCTAGATGATCCCTGACAGATGTCTATCTAACCTGCTCTTCAACATCTCCAGTGATGGAGATTCCACAACCTTCCTAAGCAATTTATTCCAGTGTTTAACCTCCTTGACAGGAAATGTTTCCTAATGTCTAAACTAAACCTCTCTTGTTGAAATTCAAACCCATTGCTTCTTGTCCTATCATCAGAGGCCCAGGAGAACAATTTTTCTCCCTCCTCCCTTTAACAACTTTTTAGATACTTGAAAACTGCTATCATGTCTCTCGTGTCAATTTTCAAGCCTCACAACACCATTACTGACTTTCTGTGGCCTGGTTCAGCAAAAGTCTTTAAGCATGTAAAAAATTCATCCAAACATTCTATTAAAATATTTAAACCTGTGTGTCACATTCTAGGTGTAATCCAGACCAGCAAGATTGTGTCACCTTTTATCCTGTAACCTTGGATGCCTCAGAGCATGTTGCTGTTGTAGCTTCCAACCTGGGATCTTTGCAAACAGCCTAATGGCATGCAGGTCACACTCTGTGTGTCTGCATATAGCTATAGATCTGATCCAACAGCTTGTCAGTAACAGCTGAGTCACACTCTGGCTTCGACCAACTTCGGTTACTACTTCCATGGTGGCCACAACACGTTCTTAGTTCCAGATGCAAAGTGCTCCACTTAGGAAGGAACAATCAGTTTCACACATACAGAATGGGAAGTAAAATGCAGGACAATGTAGCACTTTAAAGACTAACAAGATGGTTTATTAGATGATGAGCTTTCGTGGGCCAGACCCACTTCCTCAGACCACTTCCTTTGATCTGAGGAAGTGGGTCTGGCCCACGAAAGCTCATCATCTAATAAACCATCTTGTTAGTCTTTAAAGTGCTACATTGTCCTGCATTTTACTTCCCATTCTGTATGTGTGAAACTGATTGTTCCTTCCTAAGTGGAGCACTTTGCATCTGGAACTAAGAACGTGTTGTGGCCACCATGGAAGTAGTAACCGAAGTTGGTCGAAGCCAGAGTGTGACTCAGCTGTTACTGACAAGCTGTTGGATCAGATCTATAGCTATATGCAGACACACAGAGTGTGACCTGCATGCCATTAGGCTGTTTGCAAAGATCCCAGGTTGGAAGCTACAACAGCAACATGCTCTGAGGCATCCAAGGTTACAGGATAAAAGGTGACACAATCTTGCTGGTCTGGATTACACCTAGAATGTGACACACAGGTTTAAATATTTTAATAGAATGTTTGGATGAATTTTTTACATGCTTAAAGACTTTTGCTGAACCAGGCCACAGAAAGTCAGTAATGGTGTTGTGAGGCTTGAAAATGTCATCAACATGAATATGGACTGGATGTATTGTATGATGTGGAGTCAGCTATGTTTCTCTGCAGCATCCATTGTGGTATACCTGTAGTAATCCTAAATGAATGTCAATACAACCTTCATACTACATTACAATGTATTCTGTATAGGCCACATCATTTTTATTATAAAACATTTTTAAGTCCAATTTTATTAACTTTTTTTTTATCCCTTTGCCTGTGAACCTTGCTACTGCCAGTCCAACTGTACATGCCAAGGAAAAACAAGAAAAATGACTATTTTTAAAACCTATAAAAATTACCTAAAATAGATTTTATATACAACACATTTAATGCCAGTTATCTAAGAATCTTCTACAATTAGAAGTGTGTGAACTGTAACTTGGTAAGTTGATATCTTCCCCTTTCCTATGGTACAAAGCTTTAATTGTTTCACTTCTATCCCTGAGGGTCATAAGATATCTGACCTTAAAACTGTTACTGGGCTATGGTCAAATACTGACCAGAGCCAGTGTGATTCTGGGGGGAAAATTCCACACCTATGGGAAGAGGTTGATTTTTTTAATTGAGCCATTTTTAATTTTAGAGTGAGTCTCAGGAAAGTTGCATAGTGTGCTTAGTGCAGACCATGTTCTATAGTTCATAACATGGGCAGTATATGTATTTATATATGCACACAGCCTACATCTAATAAAAAGGGTTTAAAATTAATAGTATTGCATCAAATAGATACATAGGCATTTTGTATCTATGGCATTTGGAGGATCTGATGTGTCATTCACCACTAGTTATGTTACTTCTTCACCCATAGGACATGAACTTAACTGTAGTAGAAAATAATCATTTAATTTTATACACACATAGGTAGTTATACTAACCTGAAAAGCTGATAGCATGGAATATGCTTTTGTATATCTGAAAGAAAAACAACATATTACTCTGGCTACATGTACTCAGCACTCTCATTCTTCTGCAATCTTTATTTCCTATGCCCTCCTCAGCAGTTAGCATTTTATCAAGGGAGTTTAACCAAATAATCATTTAACTAATAGGCTGATGCATATCAGGTAATGGTCTTGGTTATACTCAGCCTGTTCCAGGGGGAGGCAACTTTGCTGCAGCAGGGCAAGGAAGCCATCTCCCTGGCAGCCAGGAAGGCAAGGGCTGACCACTCTGTTCCTGAGGAGGAGGCTTTGCTGTGGCAGCAAAGCTACCTCCCTGGCAGCTAGGCCAACAGTGACTGGTGGCACTGCTCCCAGGGGGTGACTGTGGGCTCTGCACTCAGCATCAGAATTATTCTTACAGTTAAACTTGTGTGCAAGAATATAGGTGTTTCATAAATGAGAAGCTATTGTTTATATTACTGCAGTGCTCTTAATAATTTAGATGTTTTCCAAATATATAATTCAGTCCAAAGCTTCTCTCCTGATTTTCAATGTCCTGCATGGAATTGATCCTAACTATGTAAAAGAGATTCTCTCTCTCTCTCGTCTACATCCTCACATACCAGCTGTATTCCAGTGAAGAAAGCACTAGAACTGGGAGGCTCATTCTTTAGGCAGAGCTTTCACAGGAGCAACTGAATATGGAACTCACTGCTACAATTAACTTCTCAACATTCAGAGCTAAATGCAAAACCCGCTTTGTCCAAATTTTCCCACAGTAGTACACATTGCAAAGGGGACTAGCACTCACTTTTTAACATTATATTCGAACGATGTGTTCTAAAGGGTCAGCTTCTAGTACATTCATTTTTTCCCCTCAAAGGTTCATACAAAATTTCAGACAACTTTCTGACACTTAATATCGCTACAGAAATTTGTTTTTAAACAAACTTCAAGTGGGAAATATCCGAAAGCCTGCTCGATAATAAAACCTGAAGGAGAGCTCTGTGTAAGCTCAAAAACTTGTCTCTTCCACACCAACAGAAGTTGCTCCAAGAGAGACCTCGCCCACCTGTGGTGTCTGATGATAAAAGTCTTTGACACTTAAACACTTTTCATCTTCAAGGCACTTAAATGTTAAGAACATAAGAATGGCCGTACTGGGTCAGACCAAAGGTCCATCTAGCCCAGTATCCTGTCTATCGACAATGGCCAGCACCAGGTGCCCCAGAGAGGGTGAACCGAAGACAATGATCAAGCGATTCGTCTCCTGCCATCCCTCTCCAGCCTCTGACAGACAGAGGCCAAGGACACCATTTTATCCCCTGGCTTTTATGGACCTAACCTCCATGAAATTATCTAGCTTCTCTTTAAACTCTATTATAGTCCTAGCCTTCACAGCCTCCTCTGGCAAGGAGTTCCACAGGTTGACTACACGCTGTGTGAAGAAGAACTTTCTTTTATTAGTTTTAAACCTGCTCCCCATTAATTTAATTTGGTGTCCTCTAGTTCTTTTATTTAGGGAATTAATAAATAACTTTTCTTTATCGGCCCTCTCCACACCACTCATGATTTTATATACCTCTATCTATGAATTAATCTTCACAACACCTTTTGAGAAAAGTAAGTAGCACACCTATTTTACATAAGACAAAAAGGTCCAAACGCCCCTGGTTTAAATGAGCTGAACTTCATGGAATTCAAAATCATGCCAAACTTCCCCAGGGCTGAACTTGGTCCAAAGGGGGTTAGGTGACTTATTGAAGGCAACAGAAGGAGTCACAGGCAAAGGAGTTTAATGTGCCTGTTTGGTATAGAAGATGTATACAAGAAAATATAAACTCGTATTTTGTTTCCATGTTTAGAACTATTAGATAAAATATTTTGTTACATTAATAATTTTGTAAAAATTTCAAAAAGTAAAAGGACATGAAAGATCAGCTTATACAATGATAAATACAGCAATGTTATAAGATTCAATAAGATCTTTGTTGCCAGACTGACACACCTTCAGTAAGGTATTTAAATATATACACTGCCCCACTGAAATCAAGAGTAGACTCACCAATTGTATAAATAACTTCAACATCATCCATCTGAGAATCAGTAATGCTGTTCTTGGCTTCACCTTTTACTTCTCCAAGAAGGAAGCCTTCCTTTATAGGGGGAGCAAACAAAGAAAAAAGGCATTAGAAATATTGATTTTATTGACAATATTTTAAAAAAATCTACACTCTAGCACCTGGAGAACAAACAGTTGGAGACAGGAATTCTACAATTTACAAAAATAATTTACCGCAACAAGCATCTGTGTTAGCTTTCTCTTGCTCTTTTAGCAGTGTCCTTTATTTACTGTGGTCTGCAATAATTTCCTCCATATGATTTACTGCCACAAGCTGTAGTGCAGTCAAGGCACAACAGAAAAAACCACAACTAGTGGGGGGGAAATTACTTTCCCAAAATGCACTACTTCTCCTTAAGCTCAGCAAAAACATCTAGGAAGGAGAGAGAGCAGAAATAAAAAATAAATAGCTAAAAAAGAAACATTTCACAAGAATAAAAAGCTGTAAGATGCGGGGAGGATAGTATTTTGTATTTAAATACACAATATGAGAGGAGAAAAATTGGATAATATATGTATTATTTTTTGCTTGTTTTTTTTTACCTGTTATGCTTCCTTTTTTAAAAACTGAATGCCATGAGGACTTACTTAGCTTTAATGACAGCCTGTCAGACTTGGACCTAAAAGTTTGGCTAGCTCTTAACAAATATTCTATAACATACTCTGCAGAAATAGAAAATGCTACTTTTGCACCACACATACAATGTAGCTGAGTTACAGTTTTGAAAGACATCAACTTCCTGACATTAGTGTACTTAAATTCTACATACTAATATTGCAATAAAAGGGGTTTTAATACAAAAGACTCTGTTTTAAAAAAAATTAAAACTAGATGGGATGTATAATGCCAAAATAGAAGTGTAAGTGGCTCTTGATATCTATGACTGTAGTTTAAAATGTAGTGAAAAATCATAAATTGTATCAGCTCTGTAAACAATTTTCCAAGTAACTCCATTTCCAAAACAATCCCCATATCTGAATGGCCATATTCTTTCATGTGAGCAGAACCACACTGAGATCAATGTCCAAAGATCTGTATGAGGAGAGGGTCTGTCAGTATGAAGAAACTTTCAGGATCATGGACTAAACTTTTTGTTAAATTGTATTTTGCCTTATCTTCACTTAGGACCAAGATCATCAAAACTAAGACCTGGGAAGAAAAGCATTTCATGTATTTCCCCCCAGAAATAAAACACATTTCACCTCAAATGTGTAATTTTGGAGGTGGGGGAATGTTGCACTACTGGAAATAACTTAAACCCTGATCTGCAATCACATCCATGTAGTTAGATCATCAACATTCTGCATGGGTGCAAGAATCTGCCAATATTGATCAATTTACAGGATTGGAGCACACCTTTCTTTAACCACATATTTGCTACTACCACCTATATAAGCTTTCAAATAGTGGTGCCATTTGAAGCGAGGGAGATTTTTTTTAAAGGGGGCATGTTGTAAATAACTCCTTGAAACAGAGAGCAAAACCACAAAGCGATACATTTTTAAAAGTGCCATGAAATCAATTCTCCAAAAGATTTCTGCCCCTTTTACACACCTCTGCCCCCGGGGGAAGTGGTCAACAGAGGAAGGCAGTAGGTCTGGACCTATTACAGGCCGAACCACTCTAGTCTGGCACTCCCTGGTCTGGCAACATCTGTGGTCTGCCATGATTTTAGTTAGCTGGATGTCCATTTATTATGATTGTGGCCAAGTTTCCCACAGTCCCATAAAGTATGTTTATGGCCACCGGCCCTGACTCTCCGTGCTGTGTGCTGTTATTTTGCTCTAAGTTATCCCTAAGGCTGTGTCCAGACTCAGGGTTTTTTTCCGAAAAAGTAGCCTTTTTCCGAAAAAACTTCACCTGTGTCTAGACTGCAGCCGCGTTCTTTCGAAATTAAATCGAAAGAACGCGGCTTTTCTTTCGACGGCGGTAAACCTCATTTTACGAGGAAGAACGCCTTTTTTCGAAAGCGCTCTTTCGAAAAAAGGCGTTCTTGAATGCAAACAGGGGTTTTTCAAAAGAGAGCCTCCAGACTGCCTTTCGGAAAAGCGGCTTGCTTTTTCGAAAGTCCCGCTTGCAGTCTAGACGCTCTTTTTCGAAAGAGGCTTTTTCAAAAGTATCTTTCGAAAAAGCCTCTTTCGAAAGAGGCTTGCAGTCTAGACACAGCCTAAATGTCCTCTGAACAGCCCAGGAAGCAGTGGAAGTGTCGGGAATGCTGCTCGATAATATTAACCTCCTGGGGTTCGGCAAATCCTCTGCTCTGGCACCCTCAGGTCCCTACAGGGTGTGGGGGGAGAGGTGCAACCTGTTTGCACAGGGGGAGGGCTGTGGAAGCGCAACCAGCGAGAGCAGGGCTGGAGTCAGGCGGGCAGCGCAGGGGAGCAGGGGGAGGGAGTCAGTGACACCAGGAGAGAGAAGCGGCCCCCGCGCCCTGAGAAATTTCGG